AACCTTTTTTGAGTTATAAAAATGCATCATGCAAAAGTCTTAGCAGTTTTGATTTTAATTGTCCAATTGACACTTATTACTCCTTCCTGGGCACTTGAAAAACGAGGTATTAAATAAGAAAAATTATTAAAATAATGATGTTTTTCTTGAAATGAAACAGTAAATGAAGTTTTTAATTGTTATTTTTAGTTTTGCGTCGTCCTATTAGTGAAGTTAGAAAGAGAGGTATTAGATTAGAAATCATATTAATTTATTAAATTAATATTAAAACTTTTCTAATTATATAAATTAATTTATTAGAATGTGAGTGTTAAATTAATTTATGAAATGAAAATTTATATATAGTTTCAGCTTGTCACAAGAATTAAATGATGCACCAATTAAACAACTCTAATCATTTAATTGTTCAGCGTAAGTATGAAGTTTGATTCTGTTCACTTTAACGATTGTGTTTCAAGAGAATGTGTAATACCGTAACCATTTGATCGTTCAATAAATTACCAGGGTGAGTATGAAATTTGATTCTGTTCGCTTTAACGGTTGTGTTTCAAGAGAATGTGATTAACCGTAACAATAAATTACCAGGGTGAGTATGAAGTTTGATTCTGTTGTGGTTCAAGAGAATGTGTGATTAACTGTAACCATTTGAACGTTCAATACATTACCAGAGTGAGTATGAAATTTGATTATGTTCGCTTTAAGTTTGTGTTTCAAGAGAATGTGTGATTAACCGTAACCATTTGATCGTTCAATAAATTACCAGAGTGAGTATGATGGTTGATTCTGTTCGCTTTAATGTTTATGTTTCAAGAGAATGTGTGATTAACCGTAACCATTTGATCGTTCGATAAATTACCAGTGTGAGTATGAAGTTTGATTCTGTTCGCTTTAACGTTTGTGTTTAAGAGAACATGTAATTGACTGTAACCATTTTGATTGTTCAATAAATTACCAGGGTGAGTATGAAGTTTGATTCTGTTCGCTTTAGTGGTTTGTTTCAAGAGAACGTGTGATTGACCGTAACCATTTTGATCATTCAATAAATTACCAGGGTGAGTATGAAGTTTGATTCTGTTCGCTTTAGCATTTGTGTTTCAAGAGAATGTGTGATTAATCGTAACCATTTGATCGTTCAATAAATCACCAGGGTGAGTATGAAGTTTGATTCTGTTCACTTTAACATTTGTGGTTCAAGAGAATGTGTGATTGACCATAACCATTTGATCATTCAATAAATTACCAGCGTGAGTATGAAGTTTGATTCTGTTTGCTTTAGCAGTTGTGTTTCAAGAGAACGTGTGATTAACCATAACCATTTTGATCATTCAATAAATTACTAGTGTGAGTATGAAGTTTGATTCTGTTCACTTTAGCATTTGTGTTTCAAAAGAATATATTATTTATTATAATTATTTCATCATTCAATACATTACTAGGGTAAGTATGGATTTTGATTTTATTTTCTTTAATGTTTGGATTTAAAAAATATATTAATCATAATTATTTAAATTGTTAATAAATTACTAGATTAAAAAATTTAATTTTATCACTTTAAATGCTTGTGATTTAAGTAAATATATAAATAATAAAGGTAAATATTATATTTAATTCTGTTTTTTAAAAAATATATAATTAATGTATTTATTGTTAATAAATTACTAGAGTAAGTATAAAGTTGTTTAATTTAATTTATTTTAATTTGTATTAAAATTAATTAGAATAATTTATTTATATTTTGATTTTAGTTTTTATATTATATTAAGATGTTTTTATTATAATTTTTTAATTTTATATAATAATATATAATAAAAAAATTTTTTTTATAAAATATTTATTTTGAGTTATATAATTTAGCGCATATGCATTGTAATGTATCCTCTGATCAACCAATTAAAATGTAAGATCAGTTATAACATTATATAATTAAAAATCAAAACAAGTGATCATTTGTTAAAACTGTCTATAATTCAAAATTTCATATATGCAACTACTTTTTGGGTCCTAACAAATTAATTAATTTTTTTATAACTGTTTTAACCTTATCTAATGCTAATTCTAATCATATAAAAAATCAGGTTTAATTTTATATTACATATAATATTATAGAGTGTGTTACAATGCATATGCATAAAATGATTAAATTCATTTATTTTTCTATTTAATAATTTGTATTAAATAAATTAATAGTTTTTAAAATTTGTTTATATTTTTGTTAATTTTTTTAAATTTAATTATAAAAAATTAAAGTTTATATTTTTTATTTGAAAATTTATAATTATATATATAGTATATATATAAGTATTAATTTGCAAATTTGTATAATATATAAATCAAAATAATTTTTATAAATCAAAATTAAACTTCTATTTATAGTTAAAATAAGTATATATTTAATATTAAAGTAGATATAATTTTTAAAAAAAATTTTTTGTTAATAGTTAAAATAAAAATTTTAAGATATTGATAAAATATTTTTTTTGAATATTAATAGTAAGATCATGTCTTGTTTTTATTGAAATCCTCCTACAAAGAAAAGAATATATAATTCTCTTACAAGAAAAGAATGTATAACTTTCTTACAATGAAGAAAATCTACTTAAATTTTATATTTTAAGATAGCAAGAAAAGAAACTAAGGCTACTTTATCTGCAGTCTAAACCAACTAGGGTGGCTATATTTCATCTAGGTTTGTAAATTAGTAATTATAAAATTTAAATTTATTTAATATTTGATCTATAGAGAATACAATAGTATTATTTTAGTGTTAGCTATATTAGAAGATGAAGGTTGAAAAGGCTAAAGAGATAAAGAAGATGAAAACAAAGATTGATGGATAAGATATTGTTAGAAGATTGAGCTAAAAAATGAGAGATACAGTAAGGTATCCAAATATTGTGATAGATTTGTGAATTAAGATGTAAAAAAATTGATAGTAAAAGCTAGTTTTGCAAATAATATAATATTCTTAAGTAGATTAATAATATCAAAAGACTAGATAGGGTAGAGATAATAGATGAAATATAGTAATTATAATGAAAGGCATACTATTGAGACTCTTAATTTAGTTATAAAGAATAATAATTAATTTTGGTAAAATGTCCAGTGATGCAGAGCTAATAACATATTACAAAGAGCTATCAATAAGACTGTAAAGTAGTGTAAATGATAGACAAGTAATCCAATATAGTAGAGTACTAGTTTGATTACATTGGTGATAGTTTGGTGAGAAATAGTAATTCCATTTATAGAGTATATAAGAAGTAAGCAATTTATCAAAAAGAATTTTAATATTGAATGATTTAAGAGTAGAAAACTGAAAGCTATGTGAAATATTTAAAATTATTGATTATTATTTATATAGAGCCATGGCAGACCATTTAATATAAGTAGTAAGATGAGACTATTGTTGAAATCTGAACTAAGATGATTACAGAATATAGATATATATATAACAGATAGTATGAATAGTGCATCAAGTTGGAAGCTTAAGAGGATATTCATCTAGTTAAAGTATATAGTTGAGATTATAGATTAAAATTAATGAATATAATTTGGTAAATTATTGTTGAAACAAATATTGCCAATATGTAATAAAAACATAGCTAGTTGAAGTAGTCTGTCTTCTTACTTTTATCAGAAAATTTTAAATCGATGTCAATCAATATATAGCAATTAATCAATTTGTATTGATTTAAAAACTCTAATAAACATTGTTAATATTTGAAATATATCAATTTTTAATATATATTGATTTTTGATATTAATCAATATATATCTAAAAATCAAATAATATCGAATTTAATAAATTGATTAATATCAATAAAATATTATAAATCGATATATAGTATACTATGCTATAAATTAATATCGATTTTTATTATAATTATTTAATTATTGTGATTTACTAAATTATATAAAATTTAAAGATCATTAAAAAAAGTAATTATTGATTTTGATTTCTTCAATATTTTTTGACTTTTAGACTTGACAATATTTGCGCATTTATTATTTGTAAAAACTTTGATTGAATATTTTAATTTACAGCTCCTATTTCTGCAAATATATTACAAAATGATGAAAATGCAACTTTTATTTCTATAAAAATAATAAACTTTGTACAAAATAATAACTGCACAAATTTTGTCTAATTTGAAAGTTAAAAAAATGTTGAAGAAATCTGAAATCAGTAATTGAAAATTCTTTTTTTTAATGATCTTCAAATTTCATATATTTTTGCAAACTACAATAAATGATAAGTGAATTCTATCTATACCAATTTTTATTATACATAATGATAGCTATTGATTTTTATCTATATTAATTTTATTATATGTATAATAAATATTAATTTTTATTATGTTTACCGATTTTTTCAATGGTGGTATTATTGATTGTTAACTCAAAATTCTATTAATAATTATCTGTTTGAATTAATTTTCAATATTAATAATTATTACAAAAAAACACAAGTACATAAAGGCATTAATTAGATTTAATTTTTTTTAAATATTTTAAATTTTTGTTATATTTTTTAAATAATTTTGTATAGTTGGTTGTTTATTAAAAAAAATTTAATTATAAAAACTTTGAGATATCAGCATACAGGACTAATTAATATTATATTTAAATTGTAGTTAATATTAATATAAGAATATTTATAACTATAATCAGTGGTGATGATTACCAGTATATAATTAGCCAATAAATTTGCAGGATCAGGTGTAACATGCAAATTAATTTGTATTACAAAAATAAAGATATTTTTTAAAAAATATCAACATCTCAAGAATTTATCTATAAAGTTATCTTCAACATTCTAACAAAAAAATTTCTTGTTAAATTTTGCATATATCTAATACCTTGCTAAAATTTCAAGCCTTATCCTAACCCTAAAGTACATAAAATAGAATCTTTTTTTAGTTTATCGTTATTAGCTAGTTATTTTAAGTAAATCCTTAATATAAATAGTTATAAGTTGCCAGTTTGTTAATAGTCAAAGTATGATTCATAGTTGAGTTCTAAAGCAATTTGCTAGATATGTGTATTTGAAAATATTTTAGTGCAGATTATTTTCTATACAAGTATTGTAAGTAGTATAAAACAGCTAATCTAGAATTCTACTTTGCTGTTTTATACTGCTATTAAATTGCTGCTAATTAAATTTAATTAATATGAATGAAAGTATTGTTGTTTACTTTCCTGAAGGCCTGCTATTTCTCTGATTTCATAATTTTAATATCCTCTTTTTCTGACAAAACCTATTTCTGATATTATGACCAGGAGAGAGACTTTATATTAGCTGAGCCAACCTAGCTTAGAGTTATAAGCATTAATATAAAAAACTGATTATTTTATTAAAACACACAAGGCACTATAAAATACTAAACTAACAACTCTTTATTGTGTTCTAAACATTAAAAGTAACAAATATTATATTTCAACAAGTATATCTGGTATACTAAGAACTCTTTTCAAAGTACTAATATTCAAATTCTAATTTTTAAACTAATGACTAAAAATACCAAATCTCTAAAATCTTAAATCTTTCTATTTATAAGAATATTATTCTTTATATATATGTCATATATCAGATTCAAAGAGGTGTAAAATTAAAATTGAGTTGTATCAGATCAGAATTTAAATCCATGATGTGTTAAACTAGTTCATCATTTATATATCAGACTCAAATGTACATAACAAATGTAATATATAATAATATATAATAAAATTTTTTTGTTTTAATTTTTTCCTTAAAATGAATACATATTCATACTGAATTAAATTACTATAGAGTATTTATTTATTTCACAACAAATCTTCAATGACTTGGTTAAAAATTATATTAAAAATTTAGCATCAAATAAAAAGAAAAGATATTGATAGATTAAGAAAAATTACAAAAAATTAAGAAAGGTTTTCTTGATCCTATAAATACTACACTTTATACTTCAACTTTTGTTATTAGGTTAAAAATAAATTTAAATTACTTAAGATTGTGATTCTTATATTTTTACTCCATGTTCAAAAACAAAACAAAAAAAACAATAAAAAAATCATCATTGAACTTTTTATATTAGTTACAAAAACATGTATGATAAATTTTGCAAAATACATATTACAATTATTTAACATGCTGGCCAAAAGAAACATGAAATCAAATTAGCAGTAAATAGTAATATTGTCAATAAGATCTTATTAAAAAGTTTGTGATATAATGTAATATTTGTATAACAAGGCTAACAAGAGTTTAACTATTAGCTGGGATTCTAATTATTGAATGAAAGTTTATGTTACAATTACAGATAAATTTATTATTATTAATTTGTTTTTATTAATAGTAATTTATTTATAATTATTATTGTAATAGACTTTTATTTAAAATAGATTGACTTAGTTAACATAACTTTTAAACATAACAATCAATTTAAATATATTACTTATGTGTATAATTATTTTACAAGATACTTCTGGGTCTATGCACTTACCTCAAAGTGAGCAGTAGAAGTAGTAGTTTTCCTGTTTGAGATTTTTACAACCTTTAGACTACCACTGATCTTTTAATCAAATTGTGGAAAAGAATTCATTTCTTTAGTAAATATTGAATTAGTTAGTTTATAGCTTATGATTAAATTATTAATGGTAGACCAAAACATTCTGCTAGTCAAGGCTTAGTGGAGTGAGCAAATAGAATTCTTAAAGTAAATCTTGGAAAATAGATGGAAGATAATAACCATCAAGATTGATTATTCAGATTGAGATTTGTAATTTATTTAATAAATAACTTATTTGTAGAACACATAATAAAAGACTATATAAGCTTGTGTATCATATAAACATCTGCAATACTTAAGCACTTGTTTAAAACAAGTATTCTTTCTGAAAATGAAACTCTAGATCAATTTGTTTTTTTTTAAGAATGAGACCTGGCCTCAGTCTTTATCGAATAATTATACATTATATTATTGAAATAGGTTACATAAATTATTATAGAGACCTACAGCTAGGACTACTTTATTCTTGGTCTAAAGCTCTACTAGAGTAGGCTACCTGGCCTCTACTAGATTTAGTTTAACTATATACGATGTAGAAAGTTAGTTGTGGAGAAAAGCCTTTCCTATTTGTTATATTTAATTGTGTTAATATAATGTGTAGGAGGTGAGACAGAGTTAAGGCAGTGTATATATCTGTAAGAAGTGGATTCTGATGTATATCTTTATATTGTTCAAACCATATTTGTTTGTATCTAGATCAATTTGGATTAGAAAATATTCAAAAATTAATTACTGATTTGGATGATTTAATTGATAATACTAATACCAATACTATATCTTTAATGGAAATTAATTCTTTAAGCAGATCAATAAATTTAAATCAAGATTTGAATTTGAATAATGAAAACCAAGAAATAGTAAATTATAATATCACTGAACCAGATAATAAAAGTCAAGAAATAGTAAGTTGTAATAATACAAAGTAACTAAAATCCTACTTATTTGTTTATATGTGGTCTATGATCAATAGAAATCAAGCAGGTTATTAAATAAATCTGCTTAATTTCTATTAATCATAGACTACAAGAACAAGTATTATATTGAATTTAATTTGTAACTTATTTTTTATGTATAGCTATTACCATTACAGAATATATCTAATCAATTGTTAACAAAGTATCAGTATTATGAGACTTTGCTTGCCAAAATTTAGAAAATTATACAGCCAAAATGACATCTGCAATGATTGCAAGATTAAAATGTAGATTAGAATATGAAATTGGAGAGTATATTAAAATTCTTATCTTTAAAATTGATTGATTTGCTACAGATTGACCAATTCTTCCATGTAAAATCTTAGAAAAGTTAAGTTATAATGATACATTTAAATATCACCTTGGGTGCAAAGACAGAATATTAAATAACTTATATTGTGCTGGTGAGGTAAAACCATTAGGTATAAAAAAATATCTGGAATTGGATAATATTCCATCGGATCATATATCTGTCAGAGAAGCAGCATGAAGTCAGAATACTGGCATGCTTACAGGAATGATGTGCAAGTGTAAAAGCAACTGTAATACTAATAAATGTCGTTGCAAAAAATCTAATGTTGGGTGTGGAAGTAAATGCCACAGTGGAAAGATGTGCAATAATACAAATCATGTTTAATATATGTATTGAATATATGGGCTTGGTGCTACAGAAAAGGGGAAAATTGACAAATTTTTTAAAATTAATTTTTTTACATAAATTAATTTAAAATACAATCAGGATCATTTTTTATTTAAAATACAAAAGTAGTTGTATTAATAAAATTTTGCAGTATAACTTTTTAAAATTTATATTTTCTTATAGCTTATTATAAAATTTATAGCATAAAAATTGATTTTCCGAAGATCTTTTTTTATGTTGATTTCCCCCTTTTCTGTAGCACCTAGCCCATATATATTGAATAATTTGTACGCGTATTTGAATTATCTGTTATTTTCTGCTTTATCGTTATGTATAAATTATTATTTTAATTGGACGCAAGTTGGAAATTTTAATTTTACGCATCTCAAACCTAAATGTCGATTTGACGCAACTCTAATTTGACGCGCAACAAATATACTATTAGACTACAAATAAGTTATATACATGTAGTATAACAATATAAAGTCTAATTAAAGTATGCGTTACGGCTACGTATAAACTTCGCATATACTATTATAAGGTTACACGAATAAAAAAGTTTAATTATTGCTTTGTTACGTCTTTTTACGTAACACTGACAACTTAGTTCACCGACAGTTTATTTCACCGAAAAATAATTCCGATTATTATCTTAGGGTCAGTTTAGAATTAGAGTTAATGTTATTGTAATTTTTTTTAAAAAAATACTTGTCGATGAAATGAACTAAATTTCGCGGTAAATTGATTGTCGGTGAAATGACATGGATCCAATTGTGTCTTGTTAGTAAAATGGATTGTCAGTATTACGACTTCGGTGAAATGATATTTCAACCCGGAACGAATGAGAGATATCAATATTGTGCAATAGTCAATATTTCAATAAACTTAATGTGGAATGGTGATTAGCACGACACTTAAAGACACACAAACTTCAAAAACTAATAACTTTTGATCTAAAAAGTATATTTAAAAAAGGAAGCTACCAATTTTGTAGCTAAATAAGTTTATTACAACTTAGCGGCGGTTTTATTTATTTAAAAAGTCGTAATAATTTTTAAGATATATATTTTTAAAAATATAGTGATAATATTTAAAAAGTACACATCTTATAATTTATTATATACAGATATAAAAAAAAAAGGGATAAGTGCCGCGCACTGTATGACCAACTATAGAAACATTTGGCAGCCTTCATAAGAGCACGCACATAATTAATATAAAATTTGACCAATTAAATTTTAGCGCGTTATTTTTCCAAGCATAACGGTAAGTGGAAGCGATCGATCTTCCAATTTTGTATTTTATATATCGCTATCGCGAGAATCGCCGGGCTTAGATGAAGATTAACTGAAGGATGATTAGGTTGTGGCTGCGATAGATGATAAATGAAAGAATAATTGTTCGGGTAATGCGCCTCAACATTCGGGTAAAAAGTCTTTGCGGCCAGGAGCGTGGCAAGGTAAGATGTAAGCATCATTTTGACATTAACCTATGTCTTATAATAACAAAATGTATATAAGTGAGAAAATTTGCTTTAGCAAAAGCAAATTTCGAATTTTCTTTTAATAACGAGATAATAAAGATATGAAGATTTGGCCATGTTTCAATCGGAATAAAACAGCATTTCTATTTAAACACGTAATTACTGAAGAAAATACAAGATTGCCTCTTCACTAAATTCCACACATTAAAATCTCACCTTCATAATTTGACTATTTGTGGACTGATCCTTTTGTAAGTTGTTTATTGAATTATTATGCATACACCTTTGCCGGTATGATCTATTTATTTTTCACTTTTCATGCTTTTGTTTATCGGCTTTCGTGACGTAATACCATGCACCAGTTTGATCTTGTTTGCTGATCACTGATTGAATGCTTAATTCGATCTCGCCTTAAGTTTAAGGCTACCATGGATTGTTAATAAGTGACGCAAAGGGAAAACCGGGCACCTGACTTTTAAGTTTATTATTTATTTTATTTATTATTTACCGACCAACGATATATATGGTAGATAATTAAATTTACCAGGCAGTGCCTGCCTGATAACGATTACTATTAATTACCTATGTCTTTGATTATGGCTGAGTCTGGTAAATAATTAATAATAAATAATAAATAATAAACAGTAAATAATAAACTTGAAAGCTAAAAGTCTGTCTTTCCCTTACCCTTAGAGTACTCATATAGCAATATAGACAATAATAACTTTGCAAGAGAAGTACATAACACAATTCTCATAATTAAAACGCAAACCTCCAACAGTTTTTAAAGAAAAAGCACTCGTTTTTAACGTTTACTGTTAGAATTATATTGAAAAGTTATCACAGCTCGTTAATTAACCGATGCCAACATCAAGAAATAATGGTATGAAGGTTTATATTATTATTCGTTTAGAGAAACTAGATGGAACCCGGCCTTTTCAATAATAATAATAATAATAATAATAATAATTGATTTATTCAATTCCTCTATTTTCTGACATTTTCGCTAGCAAATCAATATTAACTCAATACATATCTTGGTATAGTGCGACAGCATCGCTCAATATAAAAGACGTTGCCACAGCTCTTAATTTAATCTGCAAAACACAGCCTCCATAGCCTCTATTATGATATTCGATCGCTACGCATTCTTCCACATAAATCATTTACAATGATCTACTTTTTTGACGATTGATTGTCATCATGCAAAAATAAAAGAATATTCGAACGGATCAAGTAGTTTAAACCAAAATGTTTTTAGATGTTTATAAAAAAAGTTGGCACAAGAAGGCAAGCATTCGTTTATTGATACAATTTTCGCATGTTTCATTAAAAATAAATACCTTTTAATCATAATAAAGTGGGAAAGAATCACGCTATCGAATATTACGAAATGTTTTGTCATAGTGTCCTTACTTCAAGCAATAACTCTCATAATACTTCAAATAAGAATTTTTATACGTAACACTTCTCTTAGCGACCAAATGGAATCTTATTTGGAGCAAAATCGAGCGCTTGCTGCTTCATGTCACATGGAATTTGCCGAAAATAGGCTTACATTATTGTTTGCTGAAAATTTTTGTTTCATTTTCTTTCAAATTGTCCAAGTTTATTTTTGTTTAAATGCGGTAAGGATATATAATTATCAAAAAAAAAAATATTAAATACATTCAATACATTCAATACATTCATAATTTTTATTTGTTCCAAAAGGTAATTCACCAAAACATGATTCAAATATTTGTGATACTTGGGCTCAATATTGCAAGCTCTCTCTATGGAATTGTAATTTTTCATTCCTTACCCTACTGGATTTTATAACTTTGCATGCTGCGTAACTATTACTTTTTTTTACTAGGCTCAACAATATGAAGTTGAAAGTGGGTTAAATGTTATAATGTTTGATTGTCCAGGAGTCTATACATTTTCTCCCAATTACGAATTATTTGAATATCCAAATATGATAATTTCCTCATTATTTGCATTCGTGAATTTAATCTTTGCTTGGAGACTGTTTTTGCTGTATGAAAAGCAAATGTATGATAAAGCTGACATAGAAATAAATAAACAAGGTAGATTTCATGAAGTACACAGTATTTTGTATCATGTCTAATACTTCTAATACTTCTAATACTTACCTATGATTTTTTATAGACCTTTATCGGAGAATGCTCATTTTTGTTATGATGCTAAAGTTGGATACATTCTTGATCATCGTAAATGCTGCATTAACTGCTGCAATAATCCCATTTCTTGGACAACAATCAATGATGTTTATAATTTCTTACATTATTCATGCTTCAATATTATTACTTTCGTTTTTTTCATTGATCCTCGCTTATAATTCGGTACCTTTTCCTTATTACTTGTTTTAGGTATTTTGGGTGACATTGAATATTTAAATTACGTACTTTTTTATTTTTTTAGTTTATTCGAAAATGGAAAATTGGATTGTATATATTTCTTGCATTATGGGTATTATTTGTTGCTGATTTTGCTTTTTTGATCAAGGATGCAATTTCTGCTGCTTCTAGTGGATGGTATTTTTGGTTATCTACAAGTAAGTTCTGTAATAATAAAAAAATAAAATCAAATAATTTCTTATATAGTTTATATTTATGATCTTAATCTTTATCCTAATACAGTTATCGTAACGTTAATAGCTGCTCTTGTAAGTTGACAATTAATTTTACCATTACCATTTAATAATAGCTAAAATATATATTTTTTTTTAAAAAAACAAAGGTTACATTTTATTATTCGTGTGTGATAGTATTAAATTTAGACATGGTCTAGAGAGAATATAGTAGGTTTCTTTTTCTTTAATAC